CGCCCGTTTTTTGGGGCGGTTTTGGTCTGTGGGCAGGCGAAGCGCCCCTCCTTGGGGTCGGCTTTCCGCGATGTGAGCGTGCCACGAGGGCCTCGCACAGGCCTGGGGCTGCGGTTGCGGGGCCGCCCTTCCTCGTGAGCCTGCTCCCATCTGGGCCTGCCGTTCCCTGCTCAAGCCCTGGGCTAGTCCCGCAGGAAGGGCTTTCCACAGGGCAGTGTTGCGTGCAGGTGCAAGAGAGGCAGGAGGTGGGTCCTGGCAGAGAGGACATGGAGCCACCCCACGAGGCCACTGAACCAACATGCCTGTTTCTACTCTGTCCTGCCTAAGACTTGTGTAGTAATTCAGGTAGAAAGAGACCTTTAGGTGCCATCGCTCCATCCCACTGCCCATGTCGGGGTTAAATTCAGCATTAGATCCACCTTCCAAGTTAGAATTGGTTGCTTTCCTCACCTGTGTTATTGCTCACTGGGCACTTAGCTGTTTCAGGGCTTTGAGCTAAGGGGAAAAAAAACTTTTTAAATTTATTCTTTTTAAATTTATTTTTTAATTGCTCAATGAGTTTTCTGCCAGCCTGGCATGCTGGAACAGCACTTCAGAGCCAGCATGAGTAAGAGGGTGGGACCGGGGAGCGCGCAGCTATAGCAGCCAGCGGTTAGGTTGGCTCAGGCGATGGTGAAACCACAGCATCCGGAGCGCCAGATGGAGGGAAGGCTGGTGGCTGGAAGGCAGGGCCGCGCCGTCACCATGGGACGTGGGGGTCGGCCGGGACAGCGCCAAGCTTCCTGCGGGAGCCGTTGGGATTCGCTCTGCATTCTTCAGCAGAGGTCACATGAAGGCAATTGTTGATTTATTTAAATAAAAGGAGTTGGCAGGCTAATCAATTTGGTAATTAATTTCCCTGTTAATTTTGGGTTTTTGACTTGCTCATGAATATTCACAAGTTCTCATCTCCTCTTTTTTTCTTTATGTAATTATTTTTGTGTTGTCAGATCACTGCTGAAGGTGACATTTCTCTCGTTTTGCAACGCAGTGAACAAATTCAATCTCATGCCTTGGAAGAGGAAATCTGTTCTGGTGCTGATGACTCCCTTGCCTCCTCTTTGCCCCAGTGTCCTCGCTAGCCTTTCAGCTTTCCTCTTTCCTTTCTGTGTGCTGCTTGGAAAGAAATAAGAGAGAGTCTGTTCAAACAGAAGGGCTGGCTTAGGCTTGGCAACTGGGAGAGCTTGTCAAGACCTTCTTTGCCAGACAAGCTAAAGTCACAATTTCCAGGTGAAGACTGGGACAATGTGGTTGATTCTTTTTTTTCTTTCTTTCTTTCTTACCATGCCTAGAGCTTTATGTTTCATCCCTAGTCCCAATGTCAAGCACCTTTCGGTAGCATGTGAGGCAGTGTGACTAATGTCTGTCACAGATATTTGATGTCTCTTTTCTCCTCTCCCTAGAGGGAGACAAAATAAAAGAAACACTGGTGCTGACCCTTTTTTTCTAGTTCTCTGTTGTCCCATCCTGCCTGTCCTTGCCTTCTTCCTCACCGATAGGTGCATCCTGGCCTCCACTACACATTTCTGCCTAGTGAGGAGTGCCTGTGCCCCAGATGATCTTAGAGTTTCTGACATTTTTATAACATCTATCAACTGAGCTAGACTTTTGTTTGTTTGTTTTTTTCCTCCTGCCTTCTGTGAGGGCGATTGAGCATTGGTATGGGTTGCCCAGAGAGGTTATGGAGTCTTCACCCTCAAAGATATTGAAAAGTTGTCTGGATAGGGTCCTGAGCACCTTTCTCTAGGTGACCGTGTTTGAACTGAGAGGTTGGACTAGATGATCTCTCAGTGGCCTTTCCAGATTCAAACGCTCTGTGATTCTGCAAGAAACAGGACTGTGGTGGTAAAAAAAACGTGTATTCTCAGTTAGAATGACTCTCTTTGGAGGTAAGAGGAGCAGGGTTGTCAGAAATGGCATGAAAGACCCTCTCCTTGCCGCATTCTTGTACACAGGGGTGAGCTTGGCCAAGAGCTAGGCTGCTAAAAAGGCAGCATAATACACACAGGGCAGTCCTCTAGGCTCAGGGACTGCTTCCAAACTGCTTCATTTATTTACATAACTCAACTTTCATGGAGTCTCTGATCTGCACAGCTTCCTACCACCCAGAGACCTTATTGTTTCAGGGCTCAATGCTCTGTGAGAGATAACAGCGCAGCACCAGCTCCAGAGTTCAGCCAAAGGTTGTGTGCGCCGAGGGTGCGGGCCAGACGGAAGAGGGATGGCAGAGAGAGGTTTAAAATTGTGTGGCAAGGAGCTGTGCCAGCAGCAGTATAAAGCAACTGCATGAGCTAAGCCAGCCCTGGTGAGGAGGTGGCTGGAGGCTAGGCAGGGCCTCCCTCCCGGCAGCAAAACCACGCGAGAAGCACACTGGTCACCCACTGCTTCTGGGGCTACCGGTTCATGACTGGCTCAGAGACGTGTAGGAAAAGGAAGCTGAGGCAAAAGCTGCCTCAGCAGGTGCTCACTTTCAATGTTTGTAGCAAGCTCTCGTACACAGTTTTGACCCAGGAGGGACACAAGCATGCACCTGTGTGCTGGCTGCCTGTTCCATCTCCCATCTTTGTTACCTCCTTTGAGGTAACAAATGCCTTTGAGGCATTTGACCTTCAAGGGAACTCCCTCAGCTTTTCCTTTTTTTTTTTTTTCTGCTCACTGATTTCTGAATCGCTTTCCTTTCTGGGCACGAGACAAAACACCCACCTAACACAAGACACCCACCCTGGACCTTCAGTAATGGCTATAGACCGCTTACTTGTGGCACGGCTGTATGCTGTGTCCTTAGACGCCTGTTGTCTGCTGTCTATGTACTGTGCTGTTCATGTTGGCTGCCCCATTAATATAGGTGGTATTTTGTGTCACGGGATCCTGCTCAATTGGTTTCTAGGGCCAGTAGATCTGGCCTGACGTGGTCAGTAAGTTGCCGCTCTTGGTACCCGAGTTAGCCAGAGGTGCCTGAAGAGTAGGCAGGGAGGGAGAGATGTTTGGAAAGTGTAGTGAGGGAGAGATACTCATTTTAAGAATTAATTCGTTCATTCTTTCCCAAATTTTAAACTGCAAGTAGGACAATACCAGGTTTATCCCGAAGCTGGTGTTTTAATCCATAATGTGGATCCATTTCTCAGTGAGGCATGTTGTCCTCAGTCTCCCAGGGAACTGACATCCCTTTGGCAATCGACTGATAAAATCCCCTGGCAGCACGTAACAGAGAGCATTTCAGCATGTCATTTTCTTTTCCGTTGCATGGAGATCAAGTATATCTTTCCCTGTTTGGTAACTTTTCTGATGGGCACTAAAGTTTTAGAAATATGCAGTAACTGAGAATTAGAGACTCTGTTATGCCTGATGCTGGCTAGTGCAATTTATTGCATTTATAGCATCAAGCACACTTTTAAGGGCAAAGAGCAGAAGCCAAATACCTGGGATGTACCTGCCCTGGTGGTCAGGGACTTGGTTACTCAGATTGTTGTGGGATTGATTGGTCCTAGCTACAGGCTGACTTTAGCCTGCTGCTGAAGTAAGGACAGTCACTTTCTGAATTCTCTGGCCAATGAGCCACGATGAGCCAATGGCCAATCAGTCTCGTGATTTGGAAGGAGGATAAAGAATCATCAAATGTATCAGTAAACTAGACAGAGGGACTGTGCCTGAGTGCATTCAAC